GTCTGGATGACACGCGTACGGCTAATATAATTCTGCTTGCAGGCTTGCAGCCCAACAAGAACGGGGCGCGAAAAAAAAAAAAAACGAACGCAAAAGAGGCATTGGGCCAGAAACTACCCTGGCCCAAGAAGCTGCTTGTAATGACACTAATAGCCCTCTCTGGAACAACAGGATGACGAACTGGCGACTGAGAATGGAAGAGAAGAGCAGAAAATCGAACTGAGACTTCATTGAAACCGGCGGCCGGCCGATTCCTCTATTCAACTCAAGCTAATCTACAATGGCCGCATCGGCGGCGGTAGCTCCCCGGACGGTGCTCTCTTCATTCCATCATAGGCTCACCTTCACTGTTCCCGCCTTCTTAAATCTCGCTACCAGCAGCGCCAGGTGCCGCTGCGGCGGCGGTAAGGTTCGCCAGTTCTCTGCGATCCGCTGTGTACAATCCACCGAAGAAATTTCCAGTACCGCGGGGACAACGATCTCCGCCGCGGCGGCAATTGGGCGGCGCAATGTAATTGACATACTGGAGGAAAGAGGATTGCTGGAATCCCTTACCAGCGACAATCTCAGGTCTGTTTCCTCCACTCCAGAATCATCTCCAGTTAGGGTATACTGCGGCTTCGATCCCACCGCGGAGAGCTTGCACTTAGGCAACCTTCTCGGCATCTTAGTCCTCTCCTGGTTCCACCGCTGCGGCCACAAGGTCGTGGCCCTTATCGGCGGCGCCACCGCCCGAATCGGCGATCCCTCGGGGAAAAGCCTCGAGCGGCCCGAGCTGGACGTGGAATCCCTCGAGAGGAACACATTAGGAATAGCAAGTACCGTAACTAGAATCCTGAACTCGAGCAATTCCACCTCTTTCGTGGTTATGAACAACTACGATTGGTGGAAGGAGTTCAAAATGCTGGATTTTCTCAAACATGTAGGCAGGTACGCTAGGGTTGGAACCATGGTTGCTAAAGAGAGCGTGAAGAAGAGGCTTGAATCCGAGCAAGGAATGAGCTACACAGAGTTCACTTACCAGCTGTTACAGGGCTATGATTTCCTCTACCTCTTCCAGAACCATGGAGTGAATGTTCAAATTGGAGGCAGTGATCAGTGGGGGAACATTACAGCAGGAACTGATCTCATCAGGAGAATCCTTCAGCCGAAAGAAGGCGAAGGAGGGTTCGGCTTAACCTTCCCTCTCTTGCTCAAGAGCGACGGTACCAAGTTTGGGAAATCTGAAGATGGAGCCATTTGGTTATCCCCTTCAATGTTGTCTCCTTACAAGTTTTATCAGCACTTGTTCTCGGTCCCTGATTCGGACGTGATCAAGTTCCTCAAGATGCTGACTTTCCTCGACATGAAGGTGATAGAAGAGATAGAACTGCAGATGGGGAGTCCGGGTTACTTGCCAAATACTGCACAGAAGCTGCTTGCAGAAGAGGTGACTCGATTCGTCCACGGTGAAGAAGGGGTTCGAGAGGCGATCAAGGCTACCGAGGCTTTGAGGCCTGGAGCCGAGACTAAGCTGGACTGGAAGATGATTGAAGGGATTGCTGAGGATGTGCCTTCATGTTCCATGGCGTATGGTGAAGTTGTCAATCTGTCTGTTGTTGATCTCTCGGTGTCTTCCGGATTGTTGGAAAGCAAATCGGCTGCTAGGAGGTTGATGAAGCAAGGAGGTTTGTACTTGAACAATAGCAGGGTTGATCAGGAGAGTAAGAGAATTGAGGATGAAGACATTGTGGACGGGAAGCTTCTCCTTTTGTCTGCTGGGAAGAAGAACAAGGTCATCGTTCGCATTTCTTGACCCCCATATGGCTAAATTAGAATAGGCAGCTGCCTTAAAAGTGGAGCTATTGTTATGTGTTTTTGTTCCTGAGATGTGTAGCTCTTCATTTGGAGAGGTTCGTCAAATATTAAGTACTGTTCAATTGATCATTCATCAACAGAGTCTCTTCCTTTCACAATCCAATCGAATTGCTTCAGTGGATGGTACATTGGTCCCATTTGAATTAGGTCTTGTGTATCTGATATTTTTAATTTGAGCAGAAGCCATGTATGTATTTGCATCTTTAAAGAAGTAGTCCATTGTGCATCCAGATAATATCAGCCTAGAAAGTACCAATTGAAGCTGAGTTCACCCGCCACTGCAGGCAGCAGCTGATGAACTAGGTGGTTTTCTCATTTTAGAAAGTACCATCGATGAGAAACAGAGAAGCAAAGAGAATGAAGTTTTTAGTATAAAAATAACCCAAAAGCAAAGTTTTCTCATTTTTCTGCAGAAACGTGTTAAAAAATGCAAGTAGGCGGCTAAGGCTCAGAAATCCGCCATTGGTAATCAGACAACGGCCTGTGGCAGCTATTAGCTGCGAAATCGGAGCAGCAGCTAGGTGCTGCTGTCTCGATCGCCACGCCAAACAGCACCGCCGTCGCCGGTCTGATTAAAAACTCTCTGGAGTGGTCATCACAGCCTCGATTCGGAGAAGAAGAAGTGAGCAAGCGGAAGAAGAAGAAGTGGAAGAAGATTCCGTTTCCAGTTCCAGATACAGAAAGAGACAGACAGACAGTGAACAAGAGCGCTAGCTAGCTAGTACGTACGTAATGTAGAGTAAGAACGTGACGGCGGAGATGGGGGCGACCGGAGAATTCATGGGCTCCGCTGCCATTCAGAGAAGAGATTCCCTTCTCAGAGAGCAAAGCCTCATTCATGTTCCAATTCCAAATGAGAGTTGGCAGAGTTGCCGGTCGCCGGCGACCTCGGCCTGTGCGTTAATCTTTTCAGCTTTATACTAGCTTTCTCTTCATTTTGCTCTAGTTACGAGATTACCCTTTATTTCATGGAAATGGTCGATGGTAATTCGGTGATTATTATAAAAGCTAGGGGTTATTTCCGTGCATTATGCAAACATTTCAGATCAACGTACACGTGTACGACATGCCTGATCTTGAGCACCGTATTCCATGACCTCCTTTTCTTATTAGATTAAAGAAGAATATATAGACGATTATACAAATTGTTAAGCGATTAGATTAAAGCAACTTGTAAAAAAACATTTGTCAAGATAAAATGAAATTGTTTGTCGAATTATGCACACTTTTTTAAATGTGGTTATTGAGACATAAAGACAAGAACTCTCATTGAAAATTTTGATATTTATATAAAAAAATCAATTATTTCAAAATCTCGAATTATTAAGATTTTCAATTATAAATTTAACACAACTAATTAACTTGATGATAATCCACCATGATTTAGCACCATTAAACAATCCACCATGATTTGGCTCCATTAAACATGAGCATTACTTAAACATATATAACTAGAAGTCCTTGTAGTATATATGTAATTTACAACACCTCCTTACTCTAATCCCTACCTTGGTCACTAAATGCCATTTACATTTTTCCCTATCAAAACATGATGATCCCCAAGCCAGCTGTACGTAGTTTTCCCTATCTGCTGGAGATATATCTACTAATTCATTAATTGCATGTCCTGTGTTCAACTTGCTTGACTACTCTTTCTTATCTGATCTCTTATCTTCATCTAATAATTAATTAATCCTGCCGATGATGAAAGAAGCTCCATGCATCCACCATGGCTGGATTGCAAAGGCCAATAGGGCCATGATCCATCGACCTACTCTCCATCACAATTTACTTTGATCGATGGACTGCATTCCTCCAGGAAAGCCGCAAGATAGCTAGCTAGAGCAACGACATGCATGGAAAAAGAGAGTTTCCTAGCTAGCTTTTCTTTCCCTATATTCATTTCTGGTCTGCCATATTTAATACATTTCCCCATCGATTTGTATATGGTCTATGTACACATTTATGACCTCTCTTCTCTTTTACCATTACTCAAGATTGGTGCCTCCACTCAACTACTTTATCACATCCCTTCTTCCTCAACCTCAAGCCTCGTATATATATATAACAAGAAGACAATCTTCTCCTTCTTCGCATCTCCTTCGCTCTCTCCCTAGGACCTTATCACTAATAAATAATCTCATCACCATGACCAGATATATGGTGAAGCTACTTCTCCGGCCATGTTCTGCTGCCTAGCTAGCTGGGTCTTGGCCTGCCGTGTGTTCAAGTTGCATCACGAATGAAGATAGCAGTGGTGATGGTCATGATGCAGAGATCTCTGTCGAGCTGCGGCCTCGTGCTTCTTCTAGCATTGGTTGCCATTTCAGTCTCGACTTTGTTCGGTTTTGGTACGTACGTAAGCTTACCCTATTCGATCCAGTTCCTCTAGTCTCGATGTCTAGTAGTAGTACTTATCTTTAGACAAACCCTAGCTAGCTAGCTAGCTCCATTAATGGAAACTTTCTTTTTGGTAATATGCACCGGTATCCCTTCTCTGTGAATTTCTCGATGGACTTGTTTGTACTAATATCCATTCAGCAATAATATGCACTTAATTAGCGATCGATTTGGTACACATTTGGTGTGAATATATATCCGACAAATCCATAAAAACGCCATCCTTCTGTAATCCAACCCATGCATCCTTGTGTAATAACTTTTGGTCTCAATATTGTTCGACATAATGACATACATTCATTGTAATTCTAGCTCTCGTCCCAAGACTGAGGCATAAAAAAATGTATGTGCACATTTATTTGTGTGTTATTAAATTGACTGAATTAAGTTAGTTGCTGCATGTAGTAGTTGAGGTATGCAATGCAGAAGCTGCCTTCCATGGTGGAGGAAATGATGGTGTAAATGTAAACCAGCCGCCTTCTGCTGCTGCTGCTGCTGCTCCAATTATCTTCTCCATTGAAAATCGCACAACTCCTACTCCTATTACTGTAGCTACTTCTGCTTCTTCCAATGAGCTGCTCTCCCACTCTCCAACTACCATCACCACCACTGGTATATATAATATTCATTGCATTACGCATTAATAATCACCATTTCTCTATTACTTGCTGCCATGGACCATTCATCTCATTCTCAACTTAAAGGTGGTGAGATACGTTTTTTTCTATTTTTTATTATCGAAAACAGACTACGACTACGGCGGCGGTGGTGGCGGGAACCGTATAGGGACGGCGTGCTCGAAGGAGGACATCGTGATATACCAAGGCGCGACGGCTCCCCTGCCCAACGGGATCCCGTCCTTCTCCGTGGAGATACAAAACGTCGGCGTTTCGGGGTGCGGCATCGCCGACATCCACGTCAGCTGCGGGTGGTTCAGCTCCGCCAGGCTCGTCAACCCCACGGTGTTCCGCCGCCTTTACTACGACGACTGCCTCGTCAACAACGGCCAGCCGCTGGGCCCCACCGCCTCCCTCAACTTCGAGTACTCCAACAGCTTTCGCTACCCTCTCTCCGTCTCCTCTGTTTCTTGCTGCTGAAGCAACCCGAAAAAAATATATATATTTCTACTTTTCATGGGCTTTTGCTGTTAATATTGGAGTGGACTACGTGTTTTTGGACTAAATGTTCTGAATCCTAACACCAAACAGGCCCACATATAAGCTGAACCCAACGGGCTCTCAATTCAGCCCGATGGAATAACAACGCATGAGAAAAAGCCCAATTCCATGTATTAAAACCCGACCCGATTCCCCCGTGCCAAACCAATCGTTGAAGATGAAAGGATAACAAAGCAATAGCAAGCAACCTATAATCCTCTGTGTAAAGGCCGGCCACGTCTCATCTTCAACCACCACTCATCAGCTATAAGCTGCTAGTAAGCGTAAGAGTAATCAAAATCGGTGAGACCGGCCATGGCGGAAACCACCTGGGTCAAAATATAGAACCCACCAGCGAATATAACCAGAACCAAGATTGCGGAGATTGGGTTCTTCAGCAGCTCCCAGATGGGCAAGAATACAGTGTAGAGCGCCCCGGTGCTGACAGTAAGAGCATACAGAGCGTACCTCCTCACATTGTCCCAAAACTCCTCCATCAGTGGGCCTTCCGGGCCCAAAGCCATCGCCTTGCTGCCGTGCTCGTCCACGAACAGGAGATACAGGGCCGCCGCCAGCCCAATCGATGCTGCAGCTGCTCTGACCTCGATCATTGATCTTGCTGCTGGCTCGCACAAACCATCTAATTCTAATTCGTCGTGATCTTGACTACTGTCGTTGGGTGGTGATTGAGAAGGGATTGGGTGGTGAAGTGGGTTGTGTGAGAGTGAGAGGATTAGTGTTGTTCTTCGTCGTGGGTGGTTTGGTTTATTGGGGAAATTGGGGGTTTGGAGGGGAAGGGGAAGTTGGGGATGGGTTTGAGAAGGGAAGTGGTGGTGGTGGTGGAAGGAATGGTTATGGTGGTGGGATTGGATTGCAGAGATGGAGTTCATGGTTTGGATTTTTTGTTTGGAGGAGGGATCAAATCATTTTTGGGGTTTGGTTTAGGAGAAATTTTGTTTTGAGAGATGTGGGTGATGGGAGTTTGGAGAGTGAAGAAGAAAGGTTGAAGCTTTGGGCTATGGGTGCTGCCTATATGGCTATCCATACCTTATCCCAAAAAATCTCCACTTGGTTCAATTGTTTCTCTAATATGCTAATATTTCAAAAAGGAAAAATTGGTTTCTTTTTCCCCCATTCCTTTGATTTAATTGAAAATAGATTTTTGTGAGCATTTTTAATTGAAGCCCCAATGTGATATTATATTATTACTAATTGGATATAGTTGTAGTTGATATACATTGCAAAGGGAAAAACAACAATAATCTAATGTGATCCCATATAGAGTTGGCCAAAATAATGTGTGTTTGAGTTCATTTTATATAAAAAAACACTTGTTCTGTACTAATTAATTATCAAAATACCCTCTATAAGATATGTTTGACGTTGAAAATATGTTTCAATTTAATAACAGGACTATCATTATAAGATGGAAAAAAGGTTATAAATTATGTGCTCCAATAAATCTATTAAATATAATATTCTCACAAAAATAAATTTCTTTGTATTTGAATTATTTTTAATTTAAAGAAAGTAATCGAATATTTATGCTTAACATCATACTTGGGCCATAATTTCCCTTCTCCCGCTCTCTTTAATTTCCTTCCTTTTTTCCCACTCTCCCCACTAGCCGCAGTAGCTCCAGAACTCCGGTTGTTTCTTTCCCACATACCTTTCATTCATGGGCTCCCCCCTTCTCTCCAGCCTCTCCGAAGCCCAACAAAATCTTTTTCCCTTTCCGTTTCTTTCTCCACCTGTCTCGCCGTATTCCCTCGCGTCCGTTCACAGAATTCTTCGCCGCACGCCACACTCCCGCTGTCTTCTGGGTTACTTGACAACGATAGCACTAAACAAAAGAGACAGCTTTCTCCCTTGAAGAAAAAGCTTGAAGCTTTATATTATTTATCCCTTCAACTCGCATTAGCCTGAAACCCCACAAAAGAGTCCTCTTTTCTTCCAGCTGAGGAGGACTCTCTATACAGTCTTCAATTTTACCAGAAGGCCACCTGGTTGGTTTCTAAGGAAAGGGTGGGCAGTTTTATTTTTGAATGTGGATTCCGTTGCCAAGGTGGGTTCTTCTCTCCTTTCTTCTTTGGTTTTTGCAACTGATAAGCGATTTAGTAAACTGGTTTTGTTGAATTGGGATTGAATTTTGTATATCTCAGGTTTGGCGGCTGTTGGGGCAATCTCCATTGTTAGTTGAGAGATGGCTGTGAGTAGTAGTGTTAGTTTTGTGGAATGGGAAGAACACATTATTTGCCATGAGCGTGGGAACCGAGTGGTTCACTATTACTTGAAGAATGCTTTGGGGCAGACTATGTTAGCTGTTATAGGGACTGAGAGGAGCCTGAGGCATATGATATACGTTGTTTCTGATGGATTCTTGGTTGCCTGTGGGTCTGATTTAGGCGTCAGTGCCTCCACAAAATGGAGGGTGAGACGAGAAGTTGTCGACTGGCTTACCGCCATAGTGGCCAGGGATCGAGGTGGTGCAGGTATGCGGATTGGTATCTTAGTAGCATCACAACTTGTCTTTTTGGTGATTGAAATAGCAGCTAGGGATTTGCATCCTTCTTTGTTTTCTTTATTTACACTTCTATGTATGGTTATGTGATATCATCCTAATTTAGAGATTTGAAGTGCATGTATAGAACCTCTTCCTGCCTTGCATGCATTAACAGATTTCGCGTAGCAGTGTACCGTTACATGTTTGGTTACGAGAGATTTACGTTATAGTATTATAGGAGAAATGTGCATTGGGGCTAAGAATGTAGAGGAATTGTCTGCCTAATTGTTTGTCAGGTTGAAAAGCTCCATTTGGTAGCGGAATCTACTTCTCTTGGTCATGTTAATGTATGTTGTGATTTCGAAAGATGGATTGAGGAAAAAGCAAATGTGTATCTACTTGCTCGAATTACAATGACAGGAAGTGGATGCTATACATTATTTCAATAGTGTTGTTGTAGTTGTTAACACTTGGACTTTCTGCTTCAGTAGAAAACCATGAGATGTATAATGTAGTATGGAATTCTTACTTGTCAACTTTCAGTTGATTATACTATGGTTGGAAACCAGTGTCAGGGATTGTTAACGTTAGAATGACATTGTTTCACTTGAATTAGATATGGAGAGTTCATGATTTCCTATAATGTGATAACAAAACTATACAGATTTTGAATAGCTTTAAATTCATATTCAAATGTCTAGATATATCTGTATCCGTATACTTTCCCAGTTAGAACCTGCCTATATTGAGTTGTGTTCCCTGTCTGATACCTAAATTCCAATGCTTATGCGTCACGTGTCCCAATCCCATTGTTTGTTTGTCTTTCTACAATATCATAGATGATTTTTTTTTCCTATACTTGGATAACCGTTGTTTTTCTTTTTCGAAAAAGGAAGTTATCTCTGTTTCTCCTCTAAATTTCCATTTGAATGATATGGAAATTACAACTGTGGTTGACTAAATCTGGAATCTATTAGATCTTCTTACAGTCACATTTTAATTTCTTTCCCATTCCCCTCAGATGAAGAAAAACATTATTTATCATATTACTCGAATCAGAGACCTGAATTGTAGTTTGCAGCATGATAAACGTGCTTTGGAGGTCCACATCACTGTATCTAGGTCTTAAACCTGATATTAATTTGAATACCACATGATCCTATCAGATTTTTTGAGCCACGTATATTGCATGCACGTCCTGCACATGAATGCGTACACGTAGATGACTCGGGAAGAGCGATTACTTATATGCTTTGTCACTCTAGTGGGTAGGTTTAGTGTGTGGGTTGATCACAAATCCTCCAGTATTGTGAGCGCCATCCAGATTGTTCTTCCAGCGCTTTAAGCTTCCTGGTATAGCTAAAGGTTTTGTAGACATTCAATTTGAGTTAATTGCGAGGTTGGTGTTAACATGGTGCCAGGTAAAAGGAAACCCTCTGGTAAAACTTTGTGTTTAGATCTATGATGGCTCATGTCTCTGAGTACATAGTTCATCCTTCTTGTCATTGCATTCAGATTCTGGTCCTTCTAATTAGAACTTACAGATCTGTATTAACGCACTGAAAGTTAGTTTCCCCCCTGGTGTTATGCCTTCTTCGTCTTAGCTTAAGAAATGAAGTAGGGCCAGCATTATCAGGGGAAACCCTTGTTTATTTGCTTATGATAGCAAAAGGCTTTCTGTCATGATGTCGTAAACCTTAATTACGATGGTCAATAATGGATTACTTCAAAAGGTGACCTGAAGTACTCTCTTGAAAAGTGAAAATGGACATTCGGCTTTCATCAATTGCCTATGCTAATCAGCTTAGCTTGGATATGCCAATTGTCTTCTTTTATATACTTCAACTTAATATGCTGGCGCCTCTAATTCTACCACTGTGAGTTTGGTTATTTTACTCGGTTATGGCCTGGGAATGCTTAGCTCCTTAGAATCCTATTCTTAAGTGGTGATTGTTATCTTTCAGGACAGATTTATTTTCTTCCCCTGTTGTATTGAGTTCCCTGGCTCTTTCGTGCATAAAAAGGGAATGAAAGACTGAACTTTTGTCGCAGGTTTTCATATAAAGGACTCCACCGACAGCTTGGGATCTTTCGAGGCAGCTACCGGATTGGCTCCATTCAATACTTATTTGCCAGAACATGTGGTAAGGAAACTGATACTGCCTTTCCTGCTACTATTCAACATTCGAAGCATTGCTTCAAAATTTTCATGACGATGCAGGCTCAGAGAAAACCGAAGGTCGAAAAAGCAAGCATTGATTGGTCCGGTGTTGCTTCTATCTGTGCTAAACAGCTGAAGCATTACCCATTATTGACAAGGAACGGCACTGCCATACCGGTATGTAATCATCAAGTCACTCAGTTTCTTCAATTTAAGTTACAAACAGTTTCTCTAGTTGTTTATATCCGTCTTTTCCTCTAGGTGCATTCGTTCGTGTTTGTCTTGGCTGAAGAGGAACATCACTACCTTGGCTACTTAGAAGATATGTACGAGGACAAGAAAGGCAAGAAAAAGGTGAAGCTTCGTTGGTTCTACCGCAGCCAGGAAATCAACACTCTGATTCCGCAGCTGAACCCTCATCCTAGAGAAGTCGTCATAACGTCTCACGTCCAGGTTATCAGCGCAGAGTGTATTGACAGCTCAGCGACTGTCTTGACACCTTGGCACTACGAGAAATATGTTGCAGTTGCTGACCTCAGTTCGCCATCATCATCGCCAGCTGTCCATATGTGCTTTCGCCAGCTCAAGAACAACAAGCTCAAGCCATTCGCTCTTACGAAACTGAATGGATACTCCAAGCAATCCGTCGTTGCCTCTCTTGGTGAGTGCAATGATCAATTAGCTTATGAAGATGTTATTCGTGTACGAGCGAATGACAAGAGAAAGAGTACATCGTCCAATGTTGCCATAGGGATCCATCAGCCGATAGAGATTAAGGCTATGTTTCCTAAGCTTAAGTTCCGCCTATCGAGGAGAACTACAAACGGCAGGGATTTTGTCGCGCCTCAGTTGCCATCTCCTGTGATGTTCAAGGTGGGTGACGAGATAGAGTTGCTGTGTGAAGACAGTGGCATTAGGGGATGTTGGTTTCGGTGCAAGGTCCTGGAGGCTTCCAAGAAGCGTCTGAAAGTTCAGTACCTCGATGTGTTGGATGTGGAAACCGATATCAATCTAGAGGTACATTTCTCTAATGGAACCCGTCGTAAACACTCTTGTCGCTTAACTTTTGAATGACTAACATGATAACTTTGACCATCTCAATCAGCTTTATCATCTAAAGATTTCCAAACTAGAGTATAGATTAGTATACAATAAAAAAGTCACTAACCTTAATAACTGATATGGACAACCCGTTTCAATCCTCGCCCGATCGAAGTCAAACTTGTTACTCAGACTCAATTTCACCAACATTGCCAAGGCTTGCTGTAATTTCTTTCCCCAGTAACTGATCAGATGGTCTGTGTGACTTTTCCATGAGTTGACATAGTATTCTAGATTATTGATGTGGCTTTGTAGAATATTTGATGTGAGCTTAGGAATGATCTATTAGAGGAACTAACTCCATGTTATTCATTTTCTTGTTTTTGTCAATAGGAATGGGTCCCTGCTAATAAAGTGGCTGCTCCGGATAAGTTGGGTATAAGACATGTTGGCCGCCAAAGAGTTCGCCCGCCGCCTCCTGATGATCTCAGGAACTGTACTTTTGAGGTTGGAGTGCCAATTGATGCATGGTGGAGTGACGGCTGGTGGGAAGGTGTTGTTTCTGCAGCTGGAAAAGACCGTTTGCAAGTTTACTTGCCTGGTATGTGAAAAAACCTGTACACTTTCCACATTAAATTTCCTTTCACTTTCATTTAGCTGATTGAAAATCGGGATGTTAATGATTAGGTGAAGGCAAGTCGCTGAGTGTTGGTCAGAAGCATGTCAGGATCTCCAGGGACTGGGTTGAGAACAGATGGGTTAACGTGAAGCCAAAGACAGATATACTGGATTATCTATCTTTGAATATGGGCTGCAACAGTAAACCTGGCACTTCCGGCTGTGGTAGTGATGCTCGATATTCGGACCAGAAGGTTGTTCCAGTATCCAGTGAGCAAGAGGAAGAAAGATTCCCGAGTTCTTCACTCCTGTCGAATGAGATGCAAAATCTGGAGGTGATTAGTGTGAGTAAGGATGGAGTGGACAGCAATTAGGATAACATCGTAAGTAAAGCTGCCTTGAAATTGCAGAAATTTTGAGGTGGACGTTTGTGGTGCCCCGGTTGCTGCATATAAGAGCAGAGCATGTTGCACTGTCGTAAGGCATTCTGAGATCAACATATAGTGTTTAGTGTTAACCTGTGATTAAGTAGCCGAAAGTTTAAAACTTAGCTGTGGTAGCTGTTTCCCAATCATCCTCAAACTAGCCTTAAGTTTTTTGATGTACCAAAATAACAGTTTGGTTCTATACAGGTTTAACTTGTGCAAAAGCTCAGGTTCTGACTGTGAAGCTGCTGGGATTTCAGTACTTTCTCCATTGTGAAAGAAATAGAAGATCAGTTCTTTCTGCCTCTCTCTCATTTTTGGTAGAATGGATGGTTACAATATACAACCCCCTTGATTAGTTCAAGATTATCATTTGGGCTTGCCTCAAAAGCCCAATTTTCAAATGTTCGTTGAGCCCGCCATCTCTGTCTCTACCTTCCACACTATCTCTACTCTGGGATTATTCAAACGGAATCAACCAACCAAATTCCATGCCATCTCTTTCCGCGCCTCCTTAAACCCCATTATGCCCAAAACAATTTGAATTGAGAACTTCCATCGCCAGCGCCAAAAGGAGCTTACACAAAATTCAAACTTTACACAAACAAACAAAGGAAGCCGCTTCCTTTTTTCTCCCCATTTTAATCACTTTCCCAAATTTCCCTCTCCCCCTGTCTCACTCTCTCTTCTTCTCCATCACTTCCCCCAATCTCAAAGCCCTCCCATCTTTTCCCCTTCCCCTGTTCATTAATGGCGTCCCGCTACAACTCCTACGACTCCACCCGCTCTTCCGCTTCTTCATTCACTTCCTCAGCCGAATTCAATCCTTCTTCCATTACTCCTACCTCCTCATCCAGAGCTCTGGTCAAATCCAAGCCCTCCGATCTCTCCCAGCTGAAATCCAATCCCAACAAATCCAAACCCAATGGCACTCACAATCTTACAGCTATGGTCAAGAAGTTCATGGAGAAGAAGACCACTTTCGTGTCGTCGTCGAATAAGAAGAAGGCGATTGGTGGGTTGGTGATTCCGGCGGATTTGATTGCGGAGGACTTGAAGAAGAATACGCCGGCGGCGAGGAGAGGAGCTGCTGGGCTTGTGGGCTTGCAGAAGAAGCTGTTTGGGAAAGAGAAGGGTAGTAATAAGAAGGAAGTGAAGGCTTTGACGGAGGTGAAAGGGAATGGCTATGCTGGCAATACGAGGACGCTAGCTATGGTTTTGAGGAGCGAGAGGGAGCTTTTAAGTGCTAATAAGGACATGGAGGAAGAGATTGGTCAGCTCAAGTCGATGCTTGAGACCAGAAACAGAGAGGTAAGTAAGCGAGGTTAAAGTTCAAGCCTTTCCAGTTTCTGCTCGATTCCAAAGTTCTAAACTTTGGCAAATACTCTGCTTTTATTTTCTGATTCCAGTCTTTGAAAATGAGTTTTGTTGCAGGTGGATAAGCTGAAGGACTTGTGCTTGAAGCAGAGGGAAGAGATCAAGTCATTGAAGAATGCGGTACTGTTTCCCGACTTGTCAAACTCTCAGCTTCAAGATCTCCTTGAACAGCAAGGTTCAGAGTTGAAGCAAGCCAAAACACTCATCCCGAATCTCCAGAGGCAGGTCACTTCCCTCACAGGCCAGTTGCAATGTCTTGCTGAGGGTCTAGCTGAGGTAGCATTATCCGTATCATTTTGTCATTGATGTCCAAGCCTGGTCGTGGCTTGACGGCTAATATTTTATCGAATTCGAGCAGGTGAAGGCTGAGAAATATGGGAGGCCTCGCTGGAGCAGCTCGCCCAGGACGCCCACATTCAATTGTGAGGGGTCTGCAAATTCTCTGGTAAGGAAGAACATTGGCAACTCTAAAGAGGTTCAGTTAAACTCTAAACTGAACGACTAACATGAATGTTCTTTTCGCGACCTTAAACACGTTCCAATCTTTGTGCAGGACTTCAGCTCTTGTGGCGTTACAACGCCAGGTAGCCCCGATGATGATATGTTCGTTAAGGATCTAAACCCTTGTTTGACACCTTATGTTGCCAAGACCAATTCCAAGGTAGGTAGCATATAATCTGTGAAATGTCTAGAATCTCTTCATCTCCATGCTCAATGAGATTCACCAATGTACTTACACCCATGGCAGGAATTCGATGAGGTGGGCTATGATTGCTCATCTTCTTACGAAGAACAATTGCCGGAGACCACAATGCACGTCTCTGATGAGCCTACTTTCAGTTCCAATCTCAGGAAGCTGTCGAGAAGCTCTGATCGCTACAAAAGCCCCAATGTAGCAGCAGTTGCAGTCAGAGCCGCCAGAAGATCAGATGAAAGCAAACCCAGATATGGGAAACAACAACTGCACCACAGAGCTTTCTGATTGTCTTTGTTTTCCTGTGACCAATCTTCTTCTTTGATCTTGTTTTGAAACTACCTGGGTGGCTTAAAACAAGAAGGTCCATAGTCCATACCCAGTACCTACCAGCTGCTCTTGTTGTACATGAATGCTGAAAAGATTTATCTTTGCCTACATAAATGGAGCAATATCAACTATGATCTCTATCATCTTCTGTTTTGAGGGTTAAGATAGCAAAGCGCATGCAAAGATACAAGCTTTTCGGTGCAGGATTATGTCCTGAGACTATGAATTGATAAATGGATTCATAGAAATAGCAAACACACAGGAAAAATGGACAAGAAATTGTTTGAGAAGGCTATTTCGATTGTTTCATTTCACTGTATCATCTCATTAAATAGGCTAAAGGATCCGCGCTCCTACAACACACGGCACGGGCTTGCTTACGCTGTTCCACCGGAAGTTGCTGTCCTGATTATCTGAAACAGAGCTGGAAAAGTAAGAGAAAATGAAGGTGAGTTCGGGTCAGAATGTCAGTCTGATAAAAAAAGATAAACCTGGAATCTTTCAGACTCTTAATAGTTGTATGAGGCTATAAGTTGTCGAGTAGCAGGATTGTCCACTTAAGGCCCTAACTAGAGTCTAGATCAACATTTCGGATTAAACTAAACTGAACGAAATCGAATTTACATTTATAAAGTGATCAAGTTGAATCGAAACCAGACCGAATCAAATCCACACACACATTTTTGGATCTGATTTCTACCTGTCCTTCCTTTCATTTTTAGTTTTGGTACTATGCTAATTCCTTTTGATTCTGAAGTGCTATGGACCCTAGCCATCCAACACATAACAATCCAATCCAATCCAATCCAATCCAATCCAATCCAATCAATGTAAAACGAACACAAACCAGAGCATGCAAGAGGGGTCAGCTTCGGAGAATTAACAAGATAACCATTGTAGGGAGAGAGGGAGAGAGGGACATACATGATCCAACTACAACAAAGACGATGAATCCAAGCACAATTGGGCCAACAGGGTAGTCAAAGATTTTCTTCCATGAAGACCCAGAGACTGATCCCCTCTTCGTTATGTTCCTCTGGAACCTTTCATTCTTCCTCTCTGCAACCCTCTTTGACGTCGTCTGATGATTCAGCGCACAAATCCCACGCCCAAATCATTAAAAAGAAAGCCATGCAAAACCCAAAATCCAGAATATAAAAACGAATAACAAGTCATTTCCTTTTTACCATTTCGTTTCAGATACTGGTGCTTTTCTGGGACTTGAAAGGAGCTGATGAGAGGCAGAAGTGGTTTTGACTTTTGTGATGGGTTATTCTTCTGAATGAAAACTTTGGGATTTTCTATCGGTTTTTGTGGGAGGATTTTGTCGCAATAAATGGCTAGTCAAAACTGTCAGTTTCAATTCCTAAGAAACCCAGCATATGTCCATTTGTTTCTGACAAAGGGACATGCATGCAAACCATTACAGCAACAAACATAGTAGGAAATTAATTAATTAAAATTTGTTTACTTTTTTTGAAGGAATTTCAGATATGAATCATTAACATTACATTTGTAATTTTTTGGAAATTGTTCTGTAATTCTGCTTTGAGGTGTCACCTTTTCCTTATTCATATTCTTGGTGGATGGCTTCCAATTTATTATGCTGCAATAATAATAATTGTTTTCTTATTTTATCTGAAGAGAAAATAAAAAAAATGCCACATTTTCTTCATTTTCACCAAGTGCACCCTGCAATTACTAATGTCCCCCATTATTAGCAACATTATGATAACTAATTTTTCTAAATAACTCGCATTATCGCTAGTGGTCCAATGAGAATAGCATTGTGGACAAAGAGCATAAAGTTAACAAAAAGACAGCAGTCAAGAGATGAACATAAACTTTCAGAGTCGATCTTACATTACATCCTGCAATAGCTAAAAGAGTGTGGTATTCCTTCTTATTACTTGGTTATAGTTTAGATACAGATAAGGACAATTCTATTGCTCCCTTTTGGAGATTGGTTGGACAAAACTGTCTGTTGGATCATCCAACACCCAAAAACAGGAACAAAGTTAAAATAAACAAAAAGGCATGTACACCAATCCCAAAGGGAACACCAACTAAGGACCAAAGGGGCCAGGGGAGCAGATCACAAACGTATAAAATGCTGCCTTCCTAAATACTGCCCATTCTTCTTCATCCTCTTCTACCACAGATAATGTACATAAGCAGTGAAACCGACAATCCGGTGAATAAGTGCAAGTTTACCTCATCAAAAATGAGCTTCAAATGCCTTCTCATCCTTAAAATGAATCGCCAATGAGCAAAACCAGCTATGGCTGTCTCATGCCCGAGATTCCAGCGCCTATTGATATAAATCATGGAAGGAAGAGATACCGAGCAGGTGTAGATGACTACTTTCTGTTGTCCATCCGAGGGGTCTGAATTCGGAAATTGAGCAAGTGGTTTACCAGTTGTGTAACTGTGCAGTTATGCTCTTAACGATGGGATGATATTCTGTGTGAATGTATAGCTTGGCTTTCTCCGAACCAGGTTGTCCAAGCCATTCATCATATAATCCTCGAACAAGAGGATTGTTGTATGGATCTGCATTCACAACCTATTATGAAATTATATGATTAGTTCACAGTTCAATGGTCCTACAGATGGCATAACATTGAAGATATTTCAATCCCACTAGGAAATCCGACTATCTTATGATCTATGACTACTCACATTGTCCATGTAAACGGCTTCAATCGATTGAAGCAAAGCTTTTGGAGACTGCCCCTGGTTTGGCTTGATTTGACCGCCACCATTTAAGCAACCTGATTAAGCATTAAGCAATCAATAAATATTTCTCCTAGATTTCATATTTTTTATTTCCAAAAATTCCAACATAAATGGTGCGTAGACTGAATCAAATAAGAGGACAGACCTGCAGGGCACGCCATAACCTCCACGAAATGGTAATCACATTTTCCCATCTTGACTTTTCTCACTATGTTTTGCAGGTTCTGGAAACCATAACATAAGGCAAACTTCAAGACAGTTTTCCCATCCACCTGATATACATCAAAACAGTACATTAACAATTACCAAGCAGTAGCCTTGCACCTTAATCGACACCAAGTTCGTAAGCCCTTACAGGGAGCAAGCAGAATGAATTTGCTACATTGCGGATAAACTCAACTCCATGGAAAGCAAATTGGAGGACGATGAGAACTAGAATCTAAACACATATAGGATTCTATGACTATGAGAAGTAAAAACAGATAAGCAACTTACTTCCAGAGACACTTCTCGAAAATCTGTGTTTCGTATAGTTCTGAAGTTCAGTGGTCCTCCGATTTCTCTTCCAAACAAGGTTTTTGCGGCATTACGGAAAACTGTTTCTGCATAACCACCAGAACTGCCAGCGACCCCATAGAGATGCCCTTGTTCATCAACATTTGTCAACCTGCAGAATATGATGAACATTATCAGTTTCTTGGCGGCTTTTGGTGTTACATGGCTAAGCAAGAAAGAAAAGTACTTGGTTTTCAGAAAACATTGTGGTCTATTACATGCTATCAAGAGGAGATTCTTCTACGGCTTTGAAATCCACTGCTTTTAACTGCAAATAAATGAAGAAAAGATTATAACTACAAAATTCACAGCATCAAAAGAACAAACGAAAAGAAAGATTATAAAAGCCACTACATTATGAAACCTCTCACCTTTATTAGATCCAGAATTTCTCCAGATGTCAAAACCGAGTCTACCTCTGTAACCATTGTATCAGTGTCATCGGTTCGTTCCGGTGATTCAACTTCGAAAGTGAAGTCATCCCTTGCTGCCTCGAGCTTCTTATCATAACAGGGCATGACGGTGACATGGTAAATCTCATCCGGCCTATAAACAAGTTTACACCAATCAGATCAATACAAACCTTACCTCAAACTACATAAAAGGAGATAAATGGGGATGACAGAAAAATCACCTAAGACCCATGCTGTGGCATGCATGACGCTTAACGATTGCTCCCATTGTTTGTTGGGGACTCTTGACAGAAGATACGTAAGGGAGAATATAAGATCCTAGTTGCTTCTCGGCATAGCAAATCCAACCTGTAATAAGAGGGAGACATTTAAGATATTATGTTTCCATTCTGGAGCATCTCTAAGCAAGGCCTCCTGCCTTGTGTATAACCCATACCAATAGCAGAATCTTAGCCTTACATCTTTTTCACTTTGGCATTCACACATAGAGGAACGTAAACAAACTGACAGGGAAGCAGAATGGATAGGATAAGAAAAATAACCTGGACATGCAGATGAAAGCATAGGCAATGCTACTTTGGATTTTTCAGCTTCACTCAACAGGCTTTCTTTATATCGACTAACAAACTCATTGCAAGCCTCGATTAGTGCCAAGTCTCTGCTGCAACTTGTGTCAAATACAGCCTTTACTCCCAAGGACTTAAAAAATGTAGTGAGTTTCCTGAACACCTAGTGATTTATAGGGAAATAAATGGAAACGGCTACATCAGACATGCTGACAAAAGCACTTTGCTTAAATACCCTTGAATCATGAATAAGAACCAACCTGAGGTGGAGAGAGGCCGAAATGAACAGCAAGAGAAGCTCTGGACTGTGGTGAGAGGGAAACAATGATGGCTTTTCCTTTATCGAGATTAGATAGGAATTCATCCAAACTCTGCTTCTCCAGCATTACTGTCTCTGCTGATGTTATGCACCCACTACACCACAACAACAAAGTAACAAAGTAAAAGTTATAGAAGCTCATTCAAGCTAGACATGTCAGGGCAACCAAATGGAACACAACCGAAAATTGAGTACAAAGAAGCTGACTTTCACAACTGGGGAAGCCCAAAAGAAAAGAATCCTTCCTCGACTAGGGCAAGCCAACATGGAAGCAGAAAGGTACAATTTTTACCTGCAAGCCAAGCAGTCCTTTAGAGAAATCTTCACCGGCTCCGTCTGCCGATTGATCCCAACCGCCACCTTCACCAAATTTAACCGTAGCCAACCCCAAAAAACATCAGAAAGCTTTATAGCAACACTTGGCCGCAAAGATTATGGCCACCGCACGCCCAAAAGTCAGTTTTGGGAAAAAGGAAAGAATTGGAAGTTACCTCAGGTTTAACAGGCTTCTTGGTAACGTTACTATTAGCCTTGAGCCCCTTCAATGAGACCACACAAGCCTGAGACGGAGCTATGAAATCGTTGAGATCCCCGATCCTCAGCGTCGGCGAGAACTTCTCCGACATCTCTTCTATTTCCTTCCTTCGCTTCAAATTGGCGCGAAAGCACGCCGGGAAAAACACGAAGCTACTCTAGGGAGAAATTAGGGGTTTTGGGAGCTGGGAATTCAGTGAAGACTTGTAGCTGGTTGTGTGAATTGGATTTTGATTTCCGCCGCGAGAAGTTTGGAGAGAAAGGAGGCAGAAAAAGAAAGATGCGGCGGCGGGATGGCGGAGGTAAATACCAGTACGCGGCAGAGTCGGTATGTTTTTGGGCTGGGCTTCGTAATTTCTTTCCGTCGCGTGAGGAAGGCGGACTGATCTCAGCCGTTGGATGTGTGGAAATCTCTTTAAAAGGTCAACAGAAGACCAGGTTCGATTATGTTATCGTGTAATCATGCTTACGTATCCCGGCTGAGCATTTAGCCAAATTTCTCCGGTGAGGTTGGTGGAGGGCACGTGTCCACCACGGTTCCGCCGGCCGGCGGGAGCCACCGCTTGCTGAAGATCGGACGGCATGTACAAAGCCGGGTGATTGTATTACGGGCCCAAAGCCCAAATATAGTTGACAAACCCGAGCCCAATCATTTACTGGACCTCTAGTCGAATTTCCTCCCTGAGACAAGCTGGAAAATGGAAATAACAAAGCACACACAGATACATTGCTGAATGCTGATATTATTTCCACTAAACCATCAAGACAAGTTGTCACAAAAAGAATACACATCTTCACTCTATTCCATTTCCTTTCACCTTCTATATTACATAAGAACACCAAACATAAACCTACATTTAGCTTTCAGAAACATTGCAGACCAAAAACATACACACATACAAGAAGAACAGGTCTTCGGAGTTGGATCCGAGCAGGCGAAAAACTTGCTGGATACACAATCCTACCACCTGGCGTCGCTCTTGCCCTTGTTGTTGTACAGCCTGAAGAGGCTAAAGGCTGAAATGCAGGAAACCCCCACCATGCTGATGCAAGCTATGACAGCACTCCCTACTCCTTCTCCAACTTGGTTGCAGAACTTTGCATACATATCGCAAGTCTTCATCCACTGCAGCTCGGGCTGTCCTGTCTCTGCAAACACAGACGATTGGATCGCAGCTGCCAGTGCTGCCACGGTCATGTATGCCATTGCCTGCAAATGAAGGAAACCAGCAAAAGTCGGAGTTGATCATGAATGCAGATCAATGGAACATGACTCATGGGCAGAGTCTAAATCAACGGTAACTCTTGACTGAGATGTATGCATGTTCTGAACTTTGGAGGATCCATTTAATGTGTTAGGTGACACTTTTCCTAGGTGCAGTTAGCCTTGCTATAGTGAGGTCCCCCTTTTATGCTTCTCTTGGCTTATCTCTACAGGTTGCTTGTAACAAACCAGGATGCCAGCATACCGAAGCAAAGGGTCCCCATAGATAGTGGGGCTCAATAGGTAAATGATCACTAAACTATGAGGTTCAAAACAAATTGGTTACTTAACTAAAGATCTTAGCAGAAAAGAAGGATCTTTGTGCAAAGGAAATCGCTTTGAGTACTATGTCACTGTATCGAATGAGTCATTGGATATTCTACCTAGCTAATGACAGATCCAAATGGACTGAAAGGAAAGTGTATGTTTTATTACCATTTAGGCATTTAACCCAACCATTAGTCTGCAATTAACCCTGATCTGTTAGAAAAAAGTGCCCATTTCGATGCTCTAGAGACCCATACCCACCACAAACCGACGTGCCATTTCCAGGAAGGATGCACTAACACTTAAATAGAAAGAACAACAAATTTCATCACAAAATGCTCATTTTGCAAGGGAAACTCACTTACCCAGCAGCTCAAGTTGCAGAGTTTTATACATGCATCATTCAATGGCTTTTGGTTATGAGTTGGTCAACATTAAAACTTCAACCATCCACTCCACTCCCCAATCTACCCACATGCCTTGTTTCACAAGTAGGAGCCTTCTAGCAATAATGTAAACCATCCTCTAGGGGTAACCACTTGCCAGAATCGAATAAGAATAGCCTTTCTCATCTCCCTTTCTAATTTAATCTTAAGTTCGAACAAGATAAGTTGAGTACCAAGCTCTCTTTTCTTTTTATAACTTTTCTACTGTTCAACACCTACTAACAAGGCCAGGAAGGAAAGAGTGCACTAACTATCAGCAATAAATGTACCCATCTGGGATGCAAGGCTTGGGGAAGATTCATACATTAAAGATTATTGATAGGTCGTCTTCAATCATGGCACACAGTTTAAAAAGCTGGTTTTTACCGTGTTCATTATAACTAGGAAACCAGTTAACAATTTTGGCTCTAACATAATAGTAGACCCCACATTGATTGGTAGCAGTTTCCATAGTTCAGAGACTAACTTTGAACTTCTTCACAAAGACCACTAAATGCATTAGTTGGAATCCACAAACCTAACCATTATGGATTCACCTAAATTTTCAAAAATCCCCAACACAGAGTTCTCTGATAGCAACAAACACATCCAGAAATTCTTCAAAATGTCTGAAATCCAACTTTGAAAACCACCACCACAATCTGAGTTGGAGAATCATGTTGCCAAGCATGGCTCATAAGAACTAGTGTAGTTTCTCAATTACCTGGTCTCCAGAGAAGATGAGCCAAGCCAAGGGCTTGTTGTACAGCACATTCCCTCTAACCATACTCACTCCACACCTCACCACTTGGACAAATGAGTAGGCTGCTGCTATTGCATTTGCCACCACCAGAAACCTGGCCACCAAGCAAAAGGGACAAAGTAAGAAGGCTTCCATCTTACAAATCGACCCCAAAATTCGAAGCCAAGAGCTAATTAGAAGGAAACTATGCCTCACAGAACTTACACAAGGGCTTTCAAGTCAGTGTAGCTAGCTTTCTTCTGAATGGAGAAGAACTCCTTGGTCTGGCTATCAGTAGCTACAAGAACAGCACAGAGAAGAGCAAGCCCACAAGTCAAGACTCTGAGAACCAGCTCAGCTAGCCTCACTCTTCTGTCAATCACCTTCAAGCTTGTGCCATAGTAGACTGGGACATTGCCAGGACTAACTCCAACTCCCAAATAACTCATCTTTAATCTCCCAAGCCAAGATGCCAAGAAAACCGAATGAAGAAGATGAACAGGTGAAGCACAGAAAATAACCTCGGAAGAAAAAAAGATTAGGAAGATGATTTCTCTTTCCTTTACTAAAAGAGTGAACTTTTGAGCTCTTTCAGTCCTACTGGAAGACAGCCAAAGTTGGGATGCTTTATATAGTGAACCCACAAAGTCACAAACCCATTAACCATTTTGAGGTGGGGTTTGTTTCATTTTCTGCCAGAAATGAAAAATCTTTTTTTTTTCCCTCAAAATAAACAAGCATAAAATCGAATACAAATTTTGAGGTGTGAATTGGATTTTTATTAATTATTAATGCGTCTCTTCTAGTAATACGAACTTTTGGTGGCAGGGCAGGGGTTTCCTAATCCCCTGCTGCATAGCAAATTCCAAATTCGAAATGGATTCTACAATGCATCTTTGACACGTGTCTTTCCCTTCTATTTTCCACGTTAGAAAAACTTCTAGAAAAATGTAACTAAACCCCTTTTCTTTTTAGAAAAACAACAATAGAACCAAATCCTATAAATAATAAACAATTCCATACACTCTTCCACTCCACTTCAATATTGACTCATCGTCATCGACATCAACCATGTTGCTGCTCACCATGGACGACGTGAAGGAGAACCTCGACTTCTCGAACATGAAGAACAAGAAGCCGACACCTTTCGAGTGGCTCCTCGCCATCACTCCCATCGCCTTGGAGAAGCTTCACCTCCAAGAAAAACACGAAAGGCTCGCCCAAGAGAGCAAGCTAAAAAGACCCATAATCGTCCCAGAAACAACAACAGCAACAACAGCCCTAGGACATCATGACGATGATCAAGAAACGACGCCGTCGAAGAAGAGGAAACGTAACATTATGTTCGACGGTAGTAGTACTAGAGAGAAGAAGGCGAATGTCATGAGAACCAGGCGTAGGAGGATCGACAGGGACTACTTCGTCGACGATCCTCGGCTCGAGCAAGCCACGATACCAGAGAGGTTCCGGCAACACATAGAGACGAGGCTAAACGGGAGGGACATCATGTTGATAGTGCAGAAGCGGCTTTACGCGAGCGACCTGGACCCCAACGAAGGGCGGCTGTCGATCCCGGTGAAGAAGACGATGTGCGGAGGACTGCTGCTGACGAGGGACGAGGAGGAGTGGCTGAGGGACCGGGGGCACGACGGAAAGAAGGCGGTTCCCGGTATGGAGCTGAAGCTGGTGGTGGACGGCCCTGAGCTGGGAGAAGGGAAGGTTGTGTTCAAGCTGTGGGCGATGAAGAAGAAGAACGGGAGGGCGAGTTATATGTACGTGTTGGCGCGGTATTGGAACGACGTCGTTAAGGCGCATGGGCTTGGTGAGAGGGAAGTGGTTCAAGTGTGGGGGTTTAGAATGGGAGAAGGCGAGTTAGGGCTTGCTTTGGTTAGGCTTGGGAAGGAACATGATGGTGAGGTTTAATTTTGAGTAGTTCATTTCACATTGGAGTGTATGCTAAATGCAACAGGGATGACACAGGAAGTTTGAATTTGATACAATTTGAAACAAATCTATTACCATTTCAGAACAAGGAGAAAAGCTGACCTAACACCAAATATAAAGAACACATCACTTTCGATTTGGTTAAAAGCCTACTTGTCATTCCCATTTCTCCTAAAGTTGGTCATAAACCAGGGAGCCAAAGCATCAACTTGAACAAAGACAATCTAAGGGAGCACTAACAAGTAATAACGGGTAGAAAAAGAGGATGGAAGGTCTTTTGATAATGAACCCGCCATCTGCTCAACCTTCCATGTCTGTTACAATAAGAAGCAACACAGGGAAGTTGATGCACAAAACAATGGATTTCCTCAATCGATAACTCGATACCATAAACATCAAAGAGTGGTTTCAGGACAGCTTAAATTCAACCCCCTCCTTATCCTCGTAAGCTAACTCGTTAGAGCAAAAGCTACTTGATGAAAGCCTCTCTAGTTTCTACTACTTTCCTAACCAAAAAGACTGCCATTCTGTTTCCACTAGTAACCAAGAATAACAGAAGGACAATGACTATAGCAAAGTGCATGAACCATTCTGCATTGCCTTTCTTTATCTACAGCAGCCAAAGGCTATCACCATTGCTTATACAAGCACAATGCAATCAAAGTGCAGCACGATCCATGAATAACTCTAAAATAATACAGCACCTTAATTCAACATACAGATACTGAAGCCAGATGCAAATCAATTCTGCAACCATCTATGAGAATGCTTATACGAAATGCACAAAATGACACAACTCACAAGCACAATCCGAGCTGCCACTTGCCAGTATCAATGGCGAGTTCAGAATTCTGGTTCAAACTGACCAAAGCTAAGCAAAATTTACAGAAACCAAAGAAGGAGCCATACCGACATATTCCATTTCAGTAGCTGCCAATTCAAGCACAACTGGCCATTTGCAATGCAAGCTAACAGAGGAAAGTGAGGAAATTTTTCACATTGCAGGAATCCCAGAATTTGAAGATTATTAATCGATTCACAAGCATCATTATCCTAACCAAACCCACCATGAAACAAACTCAAAATGCAATCGAAGAACAGAAAAGCGAATTCATTTGCATTTCTAAAATTTTCCCCAGCCTCTTCAGTTCTTGAAACCACTCTTCTGGTAACGAGCAACCTCACCCTCGTTAGGGAAGAACCCCATCATTCGCCCCGCCGAGTTCTGGTACGCGTACATGAACCCTCCCAGCAACCCAATCAATCCCCCAGTCACCATTGATGGGCCCTTCAACCCTGGCTTAATCCCTAATTCGATTGAAAACAACAATAAGCGCCACAATCAGAAATTCGTCCGCATCAAAACACACACACAATCGAAGAATTCATTTCGGTTCCGGAAATGGGAGAGAGAGAGAGCGAACCTGATAGGTAGCCGACGGTGACGGAGATGCCCGTGATGGTGGTGAACCGGAGGTAATCCAAAGTGTTGAAGTTGCCGACGACCTTGCTGAACGCCGGGTTCCGATCTATCACCGGGTACTCCGGCTTCGTCGACGCTGTGATGTCGGTGTTCATTTCTCCTCTCCTCCGGTGACTTCTCTCTCTTCACTCGGTTTCTCTGTTCCTCGGCTGCTGATCCAAAAATGCTCGAGCTAGTCCAGTAGTGGAAATGGGGACGGTGACTTCTCTCTCTTCACTCGGCTCCTCGAAACTGGGCCATGGGCTCGTCATTAACAGTTGGGCCAGGCCCAGAGTCCCGATCAAAAAGCCTGAAATGGCCCACAACTGAAAGGACTAAAATGGGCAAAGGGACAGTCTTCATTTTCTTGTTACAGAAACCCAAAATGGTCATTTCGGGAATTTCTGCAGCTTTCACAGTCACCTCTCTGTTTACCCCGCAGTACACTGTCGTCATACAATAGCCAGACAGTATCTTGATAGGCAAGTAACCCAAAAATCCCCAATTTTCACCCACGAAAATCCCTAATAATTCTTTACCACATTTTTGTTTCTCTTTCTTTTCTTCCCTCCCAACTGCCTTCTTTCCCTTCCCCTGTTCATTTCGTTGGGGTTTTGAAATGGGTTTTCCGAGAAAGAAACCAGAACAGAGAGAAATGAGGAAACAGAGCACAATGCTGCTGAAATTAGACGATTTCGCCGGCGTGACACCACAGCGGAAATGGACTCGCTTCGACTACCTGGTCGCCGTGGCCAAATTTGCCCTCAAGAAGCTACAACAAGAAGAGGAGCAGCATAACTTCCATCTCCGCCGCCGCCTCTCCCGTTTGCCTCCTCTGCCACCGACCGGGCACCGCAAGTCGGGCTCTTTCCGTTCGATTTCCGTCGAACCCAGCAAGAAAATCGAAATGTATGAAACGGGCAAGAAGAAGATCAGGAAGGGAAAGGGAAGAAAGAACCAAGAAGCGGTTTTTGGCGGGATGGATTTTTGCCCGCCGCTGCCTGAGCGATTCGCGAGTTACATCGACGAGGTGAGGGGGAGGGAGGTGAAGATGGTGATCCAGAAGCGTCTGTCGAGGACTGACCTGGACCAGAGCCAGGCTCGGCTGTCGATCCCGCGCGGGGCGGTGGAGGAAGAGTTCCTGACGGCGGAGGAGGCGGCGGAGCTGGGGAAGCGGTGGGGCACGCATGGATGCCGGCTAGGCGGGGTGGATGCGCGCCTAATTGTCGAGCCAAGGGAGAAGGAATGGCTTGTGCATCTGAAGCAGTGGGGCACGGTCTTCGGCAGGGGGAACTACGTTCTGACGTCGCAGTGGAACAGCGTGGTGGAGGAAGTGAAGTTTGGGGAAGACGACGCGATTCAGCTTTGGAGCTTTCGGGTCGGCAGGGAATTGAATCTGGTTTTGGTTCGGTTGGGTTTGTGAATTGCGGGGGATTTTGGGAGGAGGATTTTTGGGGCGCCATTCACGGCGGCGGTGGTGGAGGACCGGAGGAAGCCGTTGAGCTTAATTTTGGATTAGCTGTGTTCTGTAAGTGGGATTAGTCTGTCATTAAGGAGTGGCTGTGTAGTTCTTCCTTTATAATCATTTGAGATTAGTGTGTACATAAGCCAGAGATCCAAAGCTTTCTGATGACAGAGTATTCTGGTTACTTTCACTTTTTTTGTTGGTGTTAATCATCAATGGCATTTTGATTGGGCCCATTGTGTGAAGCAACCCAAATTAACTTGCGCTAATTGGAATTTGGAGATAAAAGTGTTGGCATTAGCATATTATTACCTACGACGTTGTAACAAGGCCCATTAAACAGTATAATTAGAAGATAGAGTATATTTGTTACATTTTAATATTAAAAAGTTAGATTTGTGCAAAAAAAATTAATAGAGAGCTACGTTTATTTGGTTTGCAATAGTACTAAAAGGCACAAAATGCTATAAAGTCTAAATATAATTATTCAATGTACAAGTTTTATAAAAGGCAAATAATTTTGCACGGTAATGATACTATAACTACTTGCCATTGATGATGTTCTTTCCTTTCATATGGATACTTTCTTATTTGTGGTAAGATCGAGTGATTTTGTTTAGTCGTTGATATGTACCTTCTTCTTTTCCATTCATGATGATTCCCTGGTTATGAGGGTCGGACCGGATTGGTGGTCCAGACCAATAGAACCCCCAACCAAATGCAATAGTAACTTGATAAAGAAGTAACCCAAAAATCCACAATTTTTACCAACCAAAATCCCTAATTCTTACCGCATTTTTTGTTTGTTACTGAAATTATTTCTTTGCATTCCTTCCTAGCTAGAAGAAGCTCTGAAATTAGATCGTGGTAAAATATAAACTATATGATGGCTTGGAAGGGAAAGGAAGGGAGAATTGCGCGGATGATAAACCAATAGCATATGGATGAAATATCATTGGTAAAACAAAATATGGGTCGGTATTATTTTGGGGCGTCCAAGATCAAAATTAAACAAGCTTGCAAGCGGACCGCTGCCATCTCATTCTGAAGTGAGTACTCTATCGCCAAAAGAAGAGGTCAAATCAGAAGATAGCTAGCTTAACAAAGATGGATTGAAGGCCAGGTAAGATAGATTTTTTTTTTTCCGTTTTATTGGAATAGGACCTTCGATTGACCATGAAGCGTATTAATACCGAATGTGTCGATATATGATTTTTTTATCGGCTCCGGCACAATAGAGTTCGATAAATAACAAATAAGAAAAACCGAATTGGTCTTTTTTTGTTTCTTCTTCTTACTTCATTTCTTAGGGGAACAAAGAGTTCATGATTAACTCAACAAAAAAAGGATTACAATATTATTATCTCCGCCATATCAATTGTTGTTGAGGATTGGATGATCAAGTGGCGTAGTAGTCGTAGTCTTGTCACTAAAGTCACAAACACAGAATTTTTTGGCACACCTACAAACTTGGCACCCTGTGTGAACACACCAATCAAAACAATCTTCCGTTTTAATGCACGGGTCGCTGAGTACTTCGGGCTGCAATCCTTCCATTACTGCATTAAATCGATACATATGATATGATAAAATACATATATATATGATAAAATACCATTTCTATAGATATTCTTTCCTTCTGTATGCAATGCACAGAATCAGAATGTACAAGGCAAATAATTAAATCTTTCCTTCCTTTCGTTAGGATACCGAATCCTAGTAATAAAAGAATTAGCCCTTTTTGTATTGTCGTAATTATCTCGCTGCTACATACTTCTCAGGCTCGTGGAATTGGGGTAGGGATGGCATCAAAATAAGTATAGACAAAGTGAGGAGTAAACAAGGCCCATTGTTTGAAGCAACCCAAATTAACTTGTGCTAATTGGGCTTTGATGGGTTACCGGTTTATAGATATTGATACAAATACAATTTCCTACTGATATTCTTCCATTTTGGTAAAATTAAAGATATTCTTTCCTTATATATTATTTTAATTAAGTACATTTGTTCAATGAACATAATACAAGGAAAATAATTTTTCACGATAATGTCACTGACAAATGTTCTTTCCTTTCGTATGGATACCAAATCCTAGCAATAAAAAAAAAATTCCCCCTTTGTATTATCATAATTATCACGTAATATACACTTCAGTGCTTTTGGCTAAGAACAAGTGCACTTGTACATATATCACTTTTGTACCTCATTTGTAGTTTATGTACTATCCAAATAAAAATAGGTCAATTCATCATCTATTTGGACGACAAGCAAGTGGGTTGTTCACGGTCGGATGGTGAGGAGCAGCAGAAAATCACTCCGATCTAAGTTGTTCATTGGCTCAACAAATTAACAAAGAGTGAATGTTGAGGTCTTTGCGTATAGCACCAATATCGACGACAACAAATATACGATTTTCCTGGTGGGTGTGATTTCGGTCAAATATCACTCGATTTCTTATTGCAACATGGAATTCACCAACACAAGAAAAAGGAATAACATATAAAGGGATCGATCGATCAATGGAGGATAGTACTGTTGAGGATCGGGTGTGCTGCTGTGTGTTCTTCTTCCGCAAAGGAGCAAGTACAAACCTTCTTCTTCTGGTCACAGTTACAAACTGTGCACTGTTGGTGATCACAGAACAGAAGACACTCCTCCGTCTTCTCGCAACTGTAGATCTCTTGCGTGGCAACCACCGCACAATTCTCCAAACCTTTTCGAACACACACACACACGCACAACAACACTTACTATCAGTTCATCAAACAAACAATCGATCGCGCGCGATATACATATCGCGTAAAATAAGAACCTACGATTTTTGCGCGAATACATACCAGCTACGAGAAATAAGAGAGCGACCAAGAAAGCCAACTTCATTGGAGCGACGCCCTTCATCTTTGACCTCCTGCTTGGATTTTTTTTCCTTTCTCCTAGTGTTTGGTGATTTTTTGTTTAGGTTCGATGGTACGTACTTGGTTTATATAGATACATAATGAAAGATACAAATCTTATTGATATAAATGCCACACCGATGTTCTTTCCTTTCATATGGATACCGAATCCTAGTAGTATATATGTTTTCCCCCCGTTTTTTGTATTAATTGTGCAAGTTATCTGTATTGTACACATTTACATAACACACTTCCCATTTGTATCCCATAATATACGATATGTAATACGCAATAAATACAAAGTCCCGTATGCATGGCAGCCAAATATATATACTTGTGTAGATTAATTGTATGGGATCGAGTTATTTTAGATTGCTTAAAATGATAGCTTGAAGCTTGAATCAGGACACGAATGGAAGAAAAAATTGCATCGTCTTACCCACCCTAAAAAAAGAATTATTTGGATCGTAAATGAATTATAAATTATTACTTGCCTTTTTATACATTTTGAGCATTAATAAAGAATAATTATTATGGTAATTAGTAATTGGGCTTATTAATTGTAGAATTTAGAGCTCCTTATCACCTTAGGAAGGGAGGGCAAAATGGTATTTTATGTTTTTCTGAGCTACCGACATGAGATATGACTAAAAGTAAAACTTTTATCGCGATCTTTAAAATGTGGTGTTGAATGTGTTAGAATCAACCTGCTTATCGATTTGAGTATCCCGAGCGAAGAAAGAAAGAACAGTGTCAACGCTTCGCGATCGAGGTTTCCAAGGGTCGCAACGAGGATACTTTTGGGCCAAACATGAGTGTTTCAATGATCCGAACTACTATTGTTAATAAAATATGGGACGATTCATCCTCTAATTAAGATGAGGGTTCAGAGTATTGTGGAGCGGTAGAAGGTATAAGAGAAGGAAGAGATGCTTGTTAATATTGTTGTTGTCATATTTTGTTTCGGCCGAGTTGCTTCGTTCTTGTTATTGGGTCCGTTCCGTTGTGCTTAATTCATCGATTCGCTATTGATCAAACCTTGATTTCGGTATCTTAAATCCTTTTTACCGACGGTTATTTGCGTCGGGCCCGTCACGCTTTTCTGACAGTAGGCCACGTGAACGCTGAATGGTAAAAGGACCGTCGCGAAAGATCGCCAGGAAATCACAGTGCGGGACTCTCCCGACGGTTTCTGCCGGCGATTAGTAACCAACGCTAGATTTAGAGAGGAAAGTTGCCTTCATGGATAATAACGATTGAGATGTGCTCAAAGTGAGCAGTACCTAGGCTTATACGAGCAAGGAATGAATATGAAAAACCAGCTGGTTGAGTTGAACGTATTGTTAAGAAGCTCATATATCATGGTGATTATCCATGCTTTGAGAAAACACAAACTAAGTAATTTGAGTAACTTTCCAATCCTTGCCCAAAGAAATTGAGCACACTTTGTGCTATGCACCTAGTTTTCATCGTTCCTATGTATGGTAGAGAACTAGAGATGGTTTAAGATATCGATCGAGAACGAAACCGAACATGCTTTCAGATCAACTTGTCCCTAAGAACATGAGTTCGATCTTTGTTGTGTCAGGCAGACATGCACGAAATTCACGTCGGAGTGTGTCTAAGCATTCTTCAACGTACGAGTGAAAGACTGTGAGGAAGAGTAGAAGTTCAGAGAGACTACTAGGACCCGTTGGACATTTTTTGACTGAAAATTAAGGTTACTTGCATTTCTTGTGAAAAAAGAAGCAATATAATTAAGAGCAATCATATACATATTGTCGAACAAGATCGAGGACATTAATCCATTATGCTAGAAGCTGATTTATCTGCCATCGATCTAGCAGTCCAATCAACTCTCCGATTCTATCTTCGAGGGATGAACACACTACGGTTAACTAGTGATGGGAAAGGAGGATCTCATACACGGGTAACAGCACGACGCCATGGTCTCGAATGAGGAGGCCGGTCTTCTTTTCAAATTCGTGTTCGGTCAGGACTCGGCAATACGATCGATTAGGACTTCCAATGCCGAACAATCGAAAACGTGCCAACCCTACCGTCAGAAACTTGTTCAAGGGTGTTGAAAGCGACAAGCCTAGTATACCTAGCTATAATCCGCAACATAGGGAATCATGCACAATATAGTATTGGACCTTGCACAACAAACTTTGCAATGTCACTAGCCATGTCATGATAGGAAAACCAAGCCTAATTATGGTACCATTCCAATGTCCATCTAGCTATCTAGCTAGTGAGCAACGTCGGCATCTGAAATCAAGACTTAAGAGTGAGCTATCTAGGTGGTTTCCACCATCTCCTTCACGAGGTCTCCACTACTCCAAAGCAAGCTTTTGATCATCAACTTCAAGTGGCCGAGAATCCCACTACATACATTTCATTTCCCTCTAAACTCTCTCGTTGTTGCCCTAATTGGAAGAAAAGGATTGGAACCCCTAATTGGCTTCTAAGTGAGCATGCAAGCACAAGAAGGGACAAATCCACTTACTTGTACATGTGAAGCTCCATCATCTTTCAAAGTGGGAATCCCCCACTATACATATATCCTTTTCCCCAAAACTCTCATTGTTCCCCTTATTGGGTATTAAAGGATCCCAACCCTTAATTAGCTTCCATGAAAGCATGCATGCAACAAGAATGGACAAACCCCACTTGCATGCTTACACATTAAGCTCCACCATCTTCCAAAGCAATCCCACTACATATAATCCTTTTTCCCCCCAATACTCTCATTGTTGCCCTAATTGGGATTAAAGGATTCCAACCCCTATTTTAGCTTCTACCAACTCATGCATTCACAAGAAGGGACAAACCCACTTCCTCATATGCCTATATATATATATTAAGCTTCAATCATCTTTCACCCTCCATCATCTTTCAACCTCCATATCTCTCCCGCCAAAAACTTAAGATGAGGAAAGTTTTCTCCTACCTCTTTGCTTTGCTGGCCGTTTTGGTCATCATCTCCATCGTTGGAGTTGTTATCTTCTTGGCCTTCCGTTCTTCCCCTCCTTCCCCTCCCCAATTCTCGGTCTTGGCCGTCGACGTGTACCGCTTCAGCTTTGTTTCCGACCCTTTCCAGCAATCCAACCTCCACGTCGACGCCTTCTTCAGGGTCGGCCTCCTGGCCCGAAACCCCAACAAGTGGAAGGCGATCAGCTACGACTCGCCGGTGCTCGTTTATGCCACCTTCGGTGGGCAAAACATCACCGGCGAGGGCTTCATTCACCAGTTCCTGTTGGAGTTGGGGTTCCAAAGATGGGTGGCGGAGCATTGATGTCAGAAGAAGAAGTTGAAGTTTTGTGTCTGTTAGTCAAAACAGTGTCGTGTAGGGTTATTTCTGTTCAGTCACTTAAGTTAGTTAGTATGTTGTTTGAGTCATGTTCGTGTAAAACAGCAGGTGCTGGGTTTAGTGAGTTGGTTAGAACTTAGAAGTGGGAGCTAATTTGTAGGGACGTGGAGTCAGGAGTGTGAGTTAGTTGCCGAGTTAGTCGGACGAAAACTTTGTACTTATATCTTTCTTTGATCAATTGAATAAGGTGTCAGTTTGCATTCTATTGGATTCTACAGTTCCACCAACCTGCCGGCGACTCCAACGTCCTCGTCGCCTCTCTGGCCGGGTTCAACATGACGGCCACGGTTGCAACTCAGGAGCAGCTGTGGACCGATCTGGTGGCCGGAAGGGTCGTGCTCGAGCTCGAGTGCGACACGATGCTGAAGGGGAAGAGCTTCCACGTGGCTTGCCCCGTGGTGCTTCAGTATATCCCGGAGACGCAGGCATGGAGCATGCAAAACACGGCACAGCATGGCATCTGCGGGTAGAAGGCGGCGGCGGGCGTCGGCGGAGATGAAGAGCATAAAGTTAAATAAATTGAAGTGTTGTTTGTGTGTGCTTTAGTGTTTTGATTATTAGATGAAAATGTATTGCTATATATGTGTGTACTTCCACATCATTTTATGGAACAACGTTTTTTTAGTTAAGTGATCCTCCAAACTATATATATATAGTTCTGATTCTAAATTGGGAATTGATTGATCGCGAGGTCTGAAATCCTTGGACTTCACCAAGAACCAAAACTCAGGCTCTCAAAGCTCAAGGAAACTTCTCGGAGTAGGGTTTTCTTTATGCGATCTCACTTGTCTTTTCAACCGAAAGAGAAGGCTATTTATAGCTGAAATAAACCTAATACAATCCTAGATGAACAAGGAAACAAAGAGAAACAGAAAAGGTTAAAGAATTCGTGCTAAACAAGGAAACTTGGACTCTAAGAAACAATCTTCTAGCACAAGTAAACTGTCCAGAAAAACAGGCTTCATGCCAACTTTGAGCTTCTGGAAAATGGTCTTCTGACTTGATCCGAACTCAGTCAATTCGTTCATGAGGTTTAGAAAGTGTCATACTTTCATATCCAACTCGAATCTCCCTTCCACTATACTCCAACCCCACGAATAAGGCTCCAAATATGGTACCTCAAACGCAGTTTGTGCCTTAGCCAATTTTGGACAGTGTTCCTGTTTCTTCATATATAGCAACTTGAGAACCTTGGTAAATGACCTAAGGAGCTTGTTTCTGGACAATTAACCCTTCCAACAAGTAGAGTAACACTTGAAATTCAATATCACCCCTTCTACATGCATTTTCACTGAACCAGTTGTGAGAAACAATCCTCCAAATTAGACAACATGAAACTGTTTTGACACTTAGCAAAATTCTAACTCTTTTCTTGCCAACTTGAATTGCTTCTTTAGCAAGCATTGGAAACTTGTTTAAGGGGCTACCTGAGATCAAATCATATAGGAGAAGTACTACAAGCACAAAAATGTAGCGATTGCATCAATGAAGACAAGCAACCAGTACTCAAGCCTCTGTAAAGCAATTGCTAATGCACGTCCACTGATGAAGATCATGGTTTGGCGGAGTATAAGGAATGGGAAAACAACAAGATTTTAGTTTCATCCGTGGTTGATGAATGGAACCACCCTCCACAACTTCCTACTTTAAGAAATCACAAACACGAAAAGGGAGTAATCAGTTCAGTTGTTGAATCCTGAATGGACAACTAAGTAAGTGATCAGTTTGACTAGAATAGGTTGAAAGGCCTACTCCTTTAAAGAGATCCTTAATATGATTGAAGGTCTGGAGACCCCTATGCCCTATTCAGAGAAAGGATAAAAATAATTTGGGTCCTTGAGTGTGATGGTGGTCAATTTCAATCATACGGCCGGGGAAAGCTCAAGGAAAATATGGTGGAAAAGAAATGTCAACCTCCAGCCCAATGAATGGTTGCTCGTGAATCTTATGAATGGTGAAAATGGTGTTGACTTATACATATGGTTTTGGCATCTATGAAATCCAAGAAATGAAGAGATTATGAAAGACGAATGCTTCTCATAATAGGGCGAAATTCATTCGCATAGTTCAGACTTGATTGTTTTATAAAGTTATCCTAACGAATTGTAACAATGATGACCATAAACATATATAAATTGCCAAACTTCGCGACATACTACCTTGAAAAAATGAGTCAATGTTCCCCTTTGGCACACATTGTTTTGATGTGTGTGACTCGGAAACTTAGCATTGATTGTCTTATGAAGTCATGAGAATCTGTCGAAAGCAAACTTAGGGGTCGTTTGCTTGTGGGATTTGGGTGATGGATTTGGAACCCAAATCCCAAGCATCATGGAGTTGACACAAATCCTTTGTTTGTTGAGGGACACAAATCCGTGGGGTCCACAGATTTGGAACCCTTTTTTAGATCCAAATCCGTGGACCCCACGGATTTGTAAATCCCACATTTCATTTCGGATTTGACAATAGAAGGAAAAAATGTGAGACAAATCCATTACAAATCCATGATAAAAAATCAACTAAACAAACAATGTATTATTCCAAATCCATGATGCAACAAATCCATCATAAATCCAAAGGTTTTTAAAACTCAAAACCTTCATTTTCAAATCCAACAAGCAAACGAGTATATGGCATATAATTGAAATGGGCTGAAGTGAAGCAGTTCTTACAAGGCCCATAGAGAAAAGGACCGAGTCTTGGGAAAATCAACTATTGTTTGATACAAACTAATAAACGATTGAAATGGGCTGAAGTGAAGCAGTCTTACTAGGCCCATAGAGAAATGGACCGAATTTCGGGAGGGTTATTGCTGAGAGAGAGACAGAGAGACAGAGAGAGAGAGATAAAGGGAGAAAGAGGGAGGGAGATATGGACTCACCGACTTCAACGGCGACTTCGTCGGCGGCGGTGAATTCGTCGAAGACGCTACGATCCTCCGTAATCAATTTGCTCCGTGGGTGTGGCCTTTCGGGGGTCCGTATCGACAAAGAAGTGCTGAGGAAGAAGCTCGTCATGCCAGAATACCTCCGACAGGCAGTGGTTAGGGTTGGAGCCGGGTCGCGTGAATTGGGTCCGATCGTGGTGATGGGTTGTGTGCTTCTGGCGCCGTTTTTCGGCGGGACGGTTTTGTGCGAGTCGGAAGCTAATGGGCATGTAGATGCGTTTCTGAATTTGGAGCTAATTTACAGGTTTTGTAACTGAAAGCGAGACTCTGTTTTCATTCTGAAAGTTCTGATACTCTGTTTTCTTTGTGCGTTATATTGACTGCGAATTGTGTTGTGTTACAAGGCTCTGGAGAATATCAATTCCAGTTGGAGACAATACTGATCATCCATTGATAAACCCATTTGGGCAAACAGCAAGGATCTGGAACCAGTGGCTCTCGATCCGATCCTGGTCGTGGTTGGGGGAAGTGATCTTCTGAAAGATCGTGCGAAAGTTTATGCAGAGAAGCTTACTGAGATGGGGAAGTATATTGAATACGTTGAGTTCAAAGGCCAGCAACATGGGTTCTTCACCATTGACCCTGAAGCCGAACCTGCTAAGAAGCTGATGGAAGTGATCAAGAGGTTCATTGCTGAGAAAGAATTCCATTTGAAATGTGGAGTTTATCTTTGTGTTTATTGTTTGGCAGCTTCGTTTCCCGAATAAAGTTGGTTTCCTTTCATTAGTCAAAGCTTTGCTGCATTGTTACTCTGTTTCAACTTGGATCAATCTGCCATTCTACACCACAACAACGTCGAACTGAGTCCCCGAGGATGCGCCGCAATGTCCCATGGTGGTCTTCGTCAATTCGAAGAGCGGTGGCCGCCATGGCCCGTACTCAAGGAGCGGTGTTCTATTTCTCCCGAGCGATCTCGCCTCTTATTTTTTATGTTTTATTTTTTAGTTTATTGTGATAGATGAGGTGGAAATTTGAAAAGATTAAATTTATTATTTATTATTTTTTAAATGCCACATCACTTATTTAATGGTCAACTTTCAGAGTTGACTGACATGTCAATCAAAATTAACGAAGACTAACGGAGAGTGACCATATTTGAACGGTTGAACTAATTTAAATGACTACAGATGAAATAAAGTAATTCCAGTGACTAACATGAATTTTACTAGTAATTCAAGTGACCAAACTTGCAATTTATTCTAGAGTAGATACTAACAATTCATATTTGGCCCATTAGTAGTAAGTAGCCCATATAAGAAGGGACTAAATCTTGGGGAGAAATCAGGCCGAGGTGACCAAACATTCAAACAATGAAGTGAGCCTATATGACATGAAACAACCCAAAACCAACTTCGGCCCAGTTAACCGTTTGAAACTGAGTTTTTCATTGCGAGCGTGATTAACATGCTCTGTATTTACCGACTTGTGTGTTAAAAGTTAAAACTTACAAATGGTTCGATTTCACTTCCTAGTAGATAGAAGATCGACTGTAACTCTTGATATTGTTCTATTCCTCGGTTTTGAGTGATAAGATGGTTAAAATGGGGTTATTAAGTAATAAATTGTTCCGAAGCGTCAAATTAATCAGTGATTAATGCACACCAAGCCGATTAGCACCCCTAACCCAAAATGCGATTCTGTGGAGGTAAGCCCAAAAAGAATTCAAGTGAATGAAGAGGCAATCACTTGCAACACAACGTTCACAGCCTTGGCAAACCATGGTTAGCCTATAAAGAATTTGGCAGCCCATTATCAAGCCCATTTGACTGTTTTCGTTCGGGCTGACTCTCTCCCAAGCCCGCTGTTGTCAATGCTGGAGCCCAACCAATTTCCTAAATTCAATGATAGTTCTTTGGATAACTGAATCGCATTCGCCGGGGAGTTTTCCGTCCGGCCGATAGAAAGAGAAGCGTCCAGATGAAGATTTAATTGAAATTCGTCGAATAAATTGGAGTGAGGGGTAAAAGAGAGTTTTATTTTTGTCATCTAAGATTAATGTAAATAATAAGAAAGAACGGAGATAAATTTGGGGGGAAAAGAAGAAAACATGGTAACGTCAAATTACTAGGGAAAGGGGTGGTAATCTCAATTACCATGAATGTGGTAAATGAGGCCACTTTCTATGGCCCAATTTTCATAGCTTTTTTGCTCTCCCAAACATGAGTTCTTAACCCAATTGCTCTAGCAATTGAGTCTTATTATTACATTACATTTTCACATTCAGAATCCCCCTAATAATAAATTAAAAAATGACACTCATACAGATACCACAACACTACTCATATTATGCATACTCTACTAACAAATTATATAACAATACTCATTATATAACATAATATTATTTTCCCTAATGATATTGCATTCTCATGTAACGATCTCATAAATCAATGTATAGCAAATTAGCAACTCATCATCCTTCCCGACGTGCAAAAGATATTAATGATCATCAAGTGGCAAATCCTCTCATTCAAAGATTCTTTGCCCCTAAACCCCAACCGTCTTCCCAAATTGAGAGCAAAAGGGTTAGAAACCCGTAATTAGCATACATGCACCAATAAGGCCAGCCGACCCTCTCTATAAATAAACTCACTCTCGTATAGCATGCCTTATGAGCTAGTCATAGTTTCAATCTCTCTAATTAGACACCAATCAATCAACTAGCTAGCTAGCCATGAGGAAAGTAGTTGCAATTGTAGTACTGACCTTCAAGGGGACCGGGAGTGTCAAGTGGAAGACAGGGCCTTTCGCCAGCACCAGGCACAGCTTCCTCTTTAGCTGCGACGTGGTGCTGGAGTTCGTGGAGCGGACGCAGAGCTGGGCCATGGAGAGCACGGCCAGGGGCACCATCTGCGCTTATACCGACCGGTAGAAGCTAGTGGCAATGTAATGAAGATCGATGGTGGTGGATGACCGACAGGCAGTGTGATCTTTAATTAACTTCTTGTTGTTTTTCTTCTTTTAAGAGTGTGTGTTGTGTCAAGGCAGTGTGGGTTTGTCCATTCTTGTGCATGCATGCGTTCGTATAAGCTAATTACTGACCATCAACCGCAACAAGAGGTCACGAGCAAGCTACGGACCCTTGTGGGTTTACGCCACCTTCGAGGAGCAGAACCTTACCATGGAGGGCACGGTCCACGGCTTCCACCATCCCGAGGACAGCCATATATATAAGTTCTGTATATTATTATTGTAACATCACAACAATATAAGTCCTATAATGGGGGTCATTTGGTTATTTGCCATTTGTGTATAAGACAAACCCGCCAAGACCGTTGTAACCAACTTTACAGAGATCAATACACTTTACTCTTTCCCTCCCTCTCTCTTCCCTCTCTCTGTTCTGATCCCAAATCTCTCATTTCTTCTTCCCAATCTCTTCTCTAAACTGCAATCGACTCGCCAAGAGCAATCCTTCCATTCCCAGGGCGTGACACTTTGCGGCGCTGCTCTGGTGCGGCGGGGAAAGAAAGATTGGGGTTTCATAGGGTTTTTTTTCATCTGGCGGAGGCGGGATTAGCTTATGGTTTTGCTATTGATTGATTTATATAATTAATAATTAGCAAAGACGTGTAATGTGTAGAAGGCTAGTTTAGGGATTTTATAAATTATGATGAACCGGGTAGTTTAGCTTATGAGTCCGGATCTGGTGACTAAGGGGGGGTGCTTAGTCACTTGGCTAAGCCCCCCTCAGCCATTGGATCCTTATTAATTGATCTAATGGTGGAAATAAGGGAAGGGATGGTTAAATAATAAGAGGGGCAATTTTGGGATTATGAAAATTTTATTTAATTATTTTTTTTCTCCAGCCAATCTTCTTCTGCGCAGCATAGCACCGCCGCCCATGAAAGAGAGAGAGAAGCGCTGCAGCGACGACGGAGAATGCCGGCGATGATGGAAGAGAGGGCGGCGACGACGACAATGGAGATCTCGACGGTGCCGGCGACGACGAAGAGAGGGAAAGGAGAACGAACGTGACAGAGGCGACAGCTTCGAAGAGAGAGAAAGCGGATCTCGTCGTCGGGAAACCAGAGGAGAGAGAGAGACGATGGTGGATGATACAGAGGCGGCGGAGAGAGAGAGAGAGTGTCGGCGACAGTACAGAGAGTCGGCGGCGGCGGCGGCGGCGGTGGAGAGACATCGTATGCGTCGTCTGAAGGAAGAACAGTGATTTGTATAGTTTGTATGTTTTGTAACATTAGTTTGTATTGTTAGTATTTTTGTACAAAATGTCAGTATGGGTTGTATGTTTTTCTTTGACAGTTTGTACTCTTAGTATGTTTTTCTTTGACAGTTTGTACTCTTAGTATGTTTTTCTTTGACAGTTTGTATTCTTAGTATGTTTTTCTTTGACAGTTTGTATTCTTAGTATGTTTTGCTTGTATTCTTAGTATGTTTCGCTTTGTATTGTAAGTACTAATAATTTGTATACTTTATATGTATTGATTTGTGATGCAAAAAACATTACAAACATGGTTGACAAAAATGACAAACATGTGGACAAAAATAACAAACATTACAAACAATACAAAAGAAACCAACAAACATTACAAACATTACAAAATAACAAACATTACAAACATTGCAAACAAACATTACAAACATTACAAACAAACATTACAAACAGTACAAAGCATACTACACGTACAGAATATCACTACTAACAATACAGATTGGTAAACTTGTATTACAAACAAATGAATACAAAGTATACAAATCATAACATAAAAGTATACAAACATTACAAACATTGCAAACAAACATTACAAACATTACAAACGAACAAATGAATACAAAGTATACAAATAATAACATAAAAGTATACAAACATTACAAAATAACAAACATGACAAACAAACATTACAATGTATACAAAATAGTAATATAAACATTACAAACATCACGAACTCAATACTGTTGCCGGAAAATCATCCACCACCGTCTCTGGTCGCCGGAAAACTGCTCCGCCGTCGCCGGAAAAGCTCTCTCTCTCTCTCTCTCTCTCTCTCTCTCTCTCTCTCATCATTGGATGGGGATTAAAAATCCCACCCCCACTCTCTCTGTAGCAGCCGCACAAATCAATGGGATTAAAAATCCCATCCCTGAGTTGCGCGCAAGGAAGACGGCGGCGGGGACCAGCACCACCGTACGAGAAGTTCCGCCGGCAGGGACTCGCGGGAAGGGAGGGAGGTAGGCGCTGATTTTTTTTATTGTTTTAATTAATAATTTAAATAATAATGTAATTACTATAATGTCCTTCATTAAATTGGATCAATTGTAGCCATTGGATTTTAATGAGGTGTAGTGGCTGAGATTGACTTAGCCAAATGACTAAGGGGACCCCCCTTAGTCACCTGATCTTGGCCCCTTAGCTTATGACCAAGGTTTAGAGAACAAGAGGCTTCTGCCATAAAGTCTTTGAGAATTAATCATGTCTACTGATTTTTAATTGTAGATTACTTTTCAAAGTAATTTCTATTGCCTATACCTATATTTGAGAATTAGTATTGATTTCAGGGGCAAGTTATGGTGAATCTTCGATTTTAAACATGTAAGTATGCAAGGGTATGTAACTAGGTGGTTTTACATTGTTGAATCAATCAGTAAAATATATATATTTAATTATAAACATGTTTAACCTTTTTCAACATTATTTGTCACAATGTTGCTTAAAATGTATAAATAGGCAACATAATATCATATGTTGCGTATGCTTAACCAAATGTGACATAATTCAAGCGATGATCTATTTATGTTGCATAAAGTATCTTTTAAATAACATTTTAAAAAGTG